GTTTTTTATTCTCCTCATTTCCCAGAATATCTCGCGGAATGTGTAAAAATGCCTATTAACTTACGAAGCTCGAATTCACCTTTTTTTCAGCCACGCCTATCGTAAATGAATTTTTTATGCTGGGGAAAAATCATTTGGGCTAGTCGCTTATTGGAGAAAGTTCGATATTGTATCCCGTTATAAATCCTACACTCCAGAATAGCATGAACGAGACGACGAAGGTTTCTATACTAAATCAATGGCGCTTATTTTCTTTGTCTTGGAGTCGAAGAGTTGCTTCAGTAAGAATCAGAGCCGGAAACCGCACACTCCAATGACTGCACAAGTAAGAGGAAGAGAAAACGCTTCGCTTCACTTTTCGCACTTTTAGTAAGCTCCGTAGTTCCTTTTCAACTCGGTACACGGGCAGGCCCTTAAAACTCGTTAACCACTACGGCGCCTTCCTCAATTTACGTTCAGGCAAAGATCAAAAGGAAAGTTTATTTGGATCTTCGCAAAATAACTAAAATTTACCGACGCTATTTTTGCTGGTCGACCGGCAAAAAATCCTTAACATATAAGTGAAAATGTATGCAGATGAAATTCAAATTAAAAGCTAAATATTACTGTTATATAAACTTCCGCTAAATATTAAAATAAAATTTCGGTTGGTTAGATTTATATAATTTAATTTCCAGGAAGATTCCTCTAAACGGAAAATGAGTTTTGGAAATAGATCAAATTAATGTTAAAATTTTTACCGTATTACGGAAGTGAGACAGGTTTCTCGTTTCCGGTTTACCTCTTAAGGTTTATCACTTCATAATCGTTCCAATTATCAAGGCGTTGAGTTACGAAGCACTTCAAATTTCGATTCGTTGAGAGGAAACAAAGCGACCCGTTTCATTTAGATCCGACTTTCATTATCCTTTGTTTGTTTGATTTTCTGGGCAGGGAAATTTCGAGATTTCGGGAAATCTCATTTATACCTGTACAGTATTCATGTCAGGTCATATTGGAATAACTTTCTCCTGTTGATCATACATTGAATACTGTACTGTACAGTACATTGTTTCTTTGATTATTCGGGCAAAGGGGTCCGGTTTCTTATCCCGAATAATCGGAGTCCCTTTCTATCTTCTCTCGCTTGTTGAATACCCGTATTCACGCTATCACTCGAATTGTGTCTCTTATTTTCAGTAGTACGATTGTTCAATTGTGGCGTTTAATCGTTTACCACGCGTCCAGTTTGACAATGACCCAGATTTCTGTAAAATAATAAGTACCCCAAATTCCAATATTGTATAGTCGAAGATGCGCCCCAATTTTTTCGTGTAAAGTAATTTGTTTTGAAAAGTGTGCACGTGGTATACGAGTAAACACTGGACATGATTTCGCTCGTCGTCCTTCCTCATGTTTATTTATGGAACCGAGCTCGTTCATGTTCAATCACTGTACTTGCACGGATGTTGAAATACCGTTGATGAAGTTTTGACATATGCGGAAGGATGCCTCGCATTTTTTGAAGTTCCCCCTCATAGCATGCTTCACCTTCTTGGGAGGGCTTTCCTGCGTTTGTGTCGTTAGTGTTTTTTCCCGCGGTCGAGCTCTTCGGTTTCTGTGGTCACTCGTTGAATGCGCACCGAGTGCCTCGTGTCGGCACTTTTTCCCTCCAGTGTGAACCCTGCGCTCTCTCATCTCCGCTTGTCGGCGGGAGGATTGCGAAATTAGCGTTGGGCTGTTGTGGCCTCAGCTTTGGATTAATACAGGATCCGTGGCGCTAATCCGTGATCGATGGCCCGACGTGTGCGGGGACTCGGTGATGAATTGGAAGCGGGGGCCCTTCGAGCGAGCCGGTGTGTTTCCGGTCGAGCGCGTCCGCTGTTACGAAACCATCTCCTTGTATATCTCTCTGGGCAGCAGTAGCAGTAGTAGTCGTAGTAGCATGAAGAAGCGATTCTGGCTTCGAGGTGTACCCCGATCACACAGCTGGGGTTGGTTCCTGTTGTGCATAGGAAATGCTTTTGATGAACTCGACGAGTACATCCGGAAAATCCGTGCAAGTCTTCGCAATAGCGCATTTTAAGCGCCTTGCTTCCTCTCGCGGGATTCTCTGATTATATTGACTGTTCTGCACTGTAGTTGAAACCTGATATTTTATTTCGTTCCCACGCGTAATATAAGATACCATAGACTTGAACGATTAATTTATTTTTATTGCGTCTTGAATCGTTCAAGTTCTTGAGAAATACTGCGATTCTTCTGATCATGTTAGCGGCTCTATCTTCAATTACGGGACAGTACTTCCAGTTCAAGTCGGAATTCTAACTCTTCGTTTCTCTGAGCGGAAAATGATTTAGAAAATTTTGGTTTAATTTAATATTCAGTTTTATTTTAAGGCTTCTTTTCTTCACGAACAAGCATGCACTTAAGCTCCAAATATAATGTGCGATTAAATGTAAGACGTCATCGAATATAGAACGCGCCCTGATTTTTGAAGCCTTTTTCTTCGGCGGAAAATGAAGTTCTACTATTTGAAGAAATACATTATGCAGTATTACGCCTTTTCTTCCTTGAAAAAAGTGTGAACTGTATCATGTATGTTATGTTGGAAGAGACGATGTGGCCATTTGATCTTAGAAGCAGCGAGTGCATGTGAAATCTCAACGCTGATTTTTGCTGAACACGAAATGTTGGATTGTCCAGCGATGAAAAAAAAACATATATATCATCTATGCGAATCGAAAGAAAACCATACATTTTATGATTAGGCTTAGGTTTCCTGCTTCGCAAAGTTTAAAAATGTAGCGCATGTAAATATTGCAGTTTGACGAAAACCTCATTTTTTTTGAGGATGCTCAAAAAGTGAACCAATTTTAAATTTAGGGGGTTTTCTTGTGCGGTGAGAATTGTGATGTTGAATTTAAAAATGAAGACAAATGTAACCTTGCAAGGATTTTTTTAAAGAATAAGTACAGCACCGTGAAATTGAACTATCCAGAGGAAAATGTTGCGGGATGCCTTCGCGTAAAATCAGCTGTTTATTTTTTCTAAATTATTTTAGATTTTTCCCCATGAGTTATTATTCAAGTAAGAACATGTTCAATAATATGATGAGTCATCAGAATGGTTACAAATTTTTGAACCGCCAGCTTGAAGAGAATTTTGCGTGCAAATTGAAGACGTGACGGATGCGAAGACACTCCTAATTTTTGTACGTGTCGAAATCGAAGAAAGTCTTTCTTGTACAGTATTTGCGTTGTCTCGCTTCGATCGCAGGACTCGCGAATCACCAACATTATTCGGAGTTGCGTTTAACCAATTGAAGTTCTGTCGAAAGGTGCGTAAATAATATTTTTGTGCGATTTCGATGAAGGATCGACAAGAGTTCAGTACTTGTCAGAGTACTCCTTGCAATATGGTGCCAACGAATGATTTGATGGATTTGAGATTTTGGGATCATCCTCGAAAGGGAGAGGTGAAGGTTTACGCCTTTCTAATGTCGAAGATCATTTGCTAAATGCTTTCATTTGCGTGATCAGCAAGTGTGAATTAAAAAATATATGCGTGGTGTGATGAGATTAGTGTGCTTGAAAATGCGTTGTTGGAGGCGGTAATGTTATGCTTGTAACGTCAAAAGCACGATCCCCGTTCGCTTCTCAATTGATCTTTTCGCCTTGCCCACTTTTTTACCTACCGTACTTCAAAATGCTTGCTGTTTCGGTTTCTGGAATTTGGAGCTTACGTAAAATACCTTTTTTGGGTCTGAGGAATTTTGAAAATGTTCTTCGACTATGAGCATGCGTTAGTAAGTTATTGAACATCAACGAGAGAGTTACGTCGTGACTGAGATGCATCGAGTAGTCGTGATGCGTTTCTTCTGTTTTGGGTGGAGCGGACTCGTATCCTTGGGGAAAACTCGATTCATTTAGGCGTTAACTTAAAGCGCTGGAAAGCTTGAGTCGTGATCGAGTATTGTTCTACCTCTAAGCCAAGGTGAATCTCCAAATTCTTCTCGGCTATCCGTGTCATGTCCGAAATTGTTAACCCGTGCGTTCCACAATTTTTCACCTGACTTGATATTTGTTTAAATCACCGGTTGCGTTTTGCGAAGGATACGTTTTGACAGCACATGGATTCGAAAGCATCATGGATAACCTTGAAATGTTCTTGCGAACGCAAATGTACGAAAATGTCTTCAGTGATGGGAAATTTATCGAAAAGTTCCTCATTCGCAATGTTTTCGTGCGCGTGGAAGAAGCTGAAGTCAGTGTTGTAATTTTGCTCGATAAGGCCAAACAATTCCCCCTTGGCGCAGATTTTTCGAAAGCTTTTTTCATTTGTTTTCGGATGACATTTATTCCGAAATGCTTCTTAACTCTCCGGTTAATTCTCTAATGACGAATGAAACGAAGCTTCGCAAATAATCTACCATCATTTTATGTCTTGAAAGAAGACTTAATGCCTATTTTTGTACTCTTAAAGCTCAGAAATAAAGCGCGTCGCAATGAAGGGATCGATGGCATAACGAATATAGCAATTGGGAAATCGTCGAATTTTGAAGCTTGGAACTAGAATCAAGTAAGAACTAATAACAAATTCAAGCCATTGAAGAACGTATCCAGGAGCTGGTAAATAACAGAAGAGTACAGTACAGTATTTCTATTCCTGTATAAAATTTTTTGGAAAGGGTACCATCCATTAAAAAACGAAAAGCCCGGTACGAGCGGAGTACAGTTTTGTCATCGTTGTGTATACCTCGAAGCATTTGTGCGAGATAAAATTGTTACGGAATGATCTCCTTATTCAATTGAAGCGTTCTTTTGAAATGTCAGTTATTTACGGTTTTATAGGTATTTCCGCGCCCATGTTCAGTAGAATTTTACCTTCTTTTCACCGAACAAGTTGCGTGAGGAGCACTAAAAATATACTCATGGGAAAGGGCTGGTCAGTTTAATTTCCTGGAAAATTGCCGATTAATAGCACTTTTTTATTTTTTGATTGTGGGGAATAGAACCAAAATGTCTCATCGCAAGTTGCTCAAGCGCTTGCAAGAAACTTTGGGTGGTATCATGATTTTGCCATAACTAGTATTCGTTGGTTGACTTTTTCCACAAGTAAAGTGATTGATGTTGCGTTCTGTACATTGTTCTTAGAAGTTTCGCTTCTAAATGGAAATCATATTTCAGAAGTAATTCAGATATGGAATTCCCCGAAACTGGAGCCGAGACGGGAGGCTGTGTTTTACTCGTGTTGCTTATAATGACGCCCAACAGCGCCGCGCTACCGACGAAGGTGTCGAATGTCGCCTGAAATTCTCCCCGTACCGAATCCCGCTTTTTGAAATGATGAATTCGACATCACGGAAACTTCATTTTTCCCTGTTGTCTTTCTTTTATAGTGTCGGAAAAAGTTTTTCGTTGAATTATTTTATTTTTTCAATTTTTAGAAAACGCCGGTGAGGTGAAGCCGAGAAAGAACAGCGCCCCAGTGATTGGCGGAGTGCCGGTGATGCCGGCGTTGCCGCCTGCACGAACTGGGAAGCGACACCCAGTTTTCATGTCACAAGACGCGGAAAGCGTGTCGATGCCGTCGGAGACAGATGTGCCCCGACCCGGATTTTACGACGACACGATGGGTCCGGGGCGGAATAGCCACGCGCCCGTGTCTGTTACCCAGTCTCTGGAAGGATCTCTGGACTCCTTGACTCCTGCCTCATTGTTGGACCAGCGGTTACAGTCGCTCGAAAAGCAGCTGGACATCGAGCTCAAGGTACGTTGCTGTATTTATTTTATATATTTTTCTTTCGTGTACGTACGACAGTTGGCAGGCGTGTCGAATGTGCTTCCCCTGAAGGGATTTTCGTTGGATGAACGAATGCTTATAAACGGAGTTTTCGAAGTGACTTACAATAAGTGTGATTTACTGACTATTGTAAGCTCTGTTTCAGTGTTTGTCCACCAAGACCGAAAAATAGAGGGGAAAACGAAGAATTTGATGTGTAGCGCATCTCTTTAAAGAAAATAAGGCTTATTTTCTGCCCCCCATGCACTTTTTTTTTGAATTAGTGAACAATAGACGGTATTTGTTACCTATGCCGTATTTTTGAAACATGTTTATATTGCGTCGCTTATTTGGCGTTTGTTTTGAGATAGAATGATTTATTTTTTCCGGAAAGTTTTGTTGAGATTTCGAAAACCTTGACATTAGAGCCGGGGCTTCAATTGAGGAATATCTACAATTGACGGAATCTTCTCTTGAATCATTTCAAGGAACAATTTGGATGTATGTCGGCTCGGAAACTTCTGAGTTGCCCAAAATAATTAATCTCGGAGGCATGGCAAATCTCTGAACCGTAACTCTTGATCCAAGTCAAAGCTACAGCTAGTTTCACTGATCACCGCTGGAGGGCTACTCAGTTTTCGGTGACATCACGCTAACATCGCGATTTATCCGTTTAAGCGGAAGATGGTTGCTCGAGGCTTAGTATATTGGAAAATTTCTGATTCGCTAATTTTTGCTGAACTAGATGTGAGAAGCGGAAGATATTTTGCGAGCTAAGCACCTGTCTGCTTCGGATCTGCCGATTCGCCTTGAGTAGTGTTCTCTTGTAGCCGGCTTTCCCGCAGACCAGAGCCGACTGTACTGTAATTGAAACCCTGAGGTATTTGCGCATCAAGGAGTGGATTATTCCTGATTCTTGCCTCCGTAGAGGAAACTTCGTTTAAGGCTCTTTTATCCTTTGAAATTTTGCATTTTTAGTGTCCAGGAAAAGTACAGTATTAGCTTGTAGGAATGTCGTTTTTGAGGAATCTATGTCGAGCGGACCTTTGCTGATGCTGCTTGAGCGTGTCTCTGTAATGGCTTCCTATGAAAACATGCTTTCCAGTTTCTTGGGAAAAAAATAATTTTCTGTAGGAGACATTGCCGTCTCGAGAACGTAAAATTTGGACCTTTTCTACTGGAAGAGGGTGATGAATATTCTCAAAATGTTGGACACCTGTGGCGGATGAAGTCCTGATACTCGCGTTTCGACATGAAGAATCTCTCTGATTGTTCGAATATCGATGAACAGCTAATTTCCAGCGAAAATTTTCTATTATCTTTCTATTGATTCTCTTGTAACGAAGGAAATTTTTTTTGAAGTGGAGTATAACCGCGAGGAAAACTATTCACCAACTTTAGAGAATTTCCCCCAGTGTCTTCGAAGTCTGTTATTTTCTTCGACGGATTTCGAACTCCTACTTGCGACAGACGGTAGTCAGAACCGTATTCGAAGTTTCTCTCATCGTTCAGCTTAAATCTTCAAACCATGTTTTACGTGAAACGTATAATTTTTTTCACAAAAGCTTTCTGAGAGAAGGGTTTCGTTCTTTGTGTTCGAGACCTACAATTACGTGGGTGTTCGATAGTCTAAAGAGACATGGCATTTCTAGAACATACCGCATGTTATGAAATGAGACTCAATTTGCATGTCGGCGGCAAGCGTAGATCATTAATCACCCTGAACTGCAATTTGAATACATCTAGGTATAATCTCTTGCGACCAGCCATTATGTTTGGGAGGTAAAAGTGCAATGATTTTAGCTGATTTTTCCATCTTTGAATTTCTGTCTCGTATATCTTACCTCCATTCCGTTTTTACATTGGATTCGTTGCACTGGATGTTAAAATTTGATTGGAGCCTATGAATCGCTTGAAAAGCTCAAGCTATACATGTAGCTGTTGAAATGTGTATTACAGAGACGGATGAGTCTCAGTTTTTTCATGTCCCTTCTTGACGAACATGGAAGGATTTGCATTGGCAAGTTAAACGCGAGTGTGCTTCAGAAATGTTCTGGATCAGTATTTCGTGATGCTTTTATTTTTGAATGGAACGGTCTGAGTAATTATCTCGGATGAACACTTGGGGATGTGTGCTTATTATTTTTTCACGTGCTACAGGTGAAGGCTGGCGCCGAAAATATGATTGCCATGTACTCAAGTGGAGCATCGAAGGACAGAAAATTGCTGGCCGAAGCACAGCAGATGCTGAGCGACTCGAAGGCCAAAATCGAGTACATTAAGATGCGGATCAACAAGGCGAAACAAACTCAGGGTGCCGGAGACGGTGATGTCAGCAAAACCAAAGGTGTTTGTTATCCCCTTGTCTTTCCATGTGTTTTTTTTCCCTGCCTCGTTTCGGTGCTTATCGAGCATTAAGCATTCATGAATTCGATGGTTCACTGATTGGGCAGATCGTTCCTTGGACCTCGGATTGATGACGCCGGTGGAAGAGCGGATAGAGGAACTCCGGCACCATCTGCGCATTGAGTCAGCTGTGGTTGAAGGAGCGAGAAACGCTATTCGCTTGTTGCAGAGCCAGAAAGTACCCGACAAGAAGGCTCTTCAAGAGGTTACTTTTTTTATTCAATTGAGAAATGAATTCATTTATTGAAGCTTAGGTCATCCTTACGCAGAAGTCGTATTCTTCGATGAGTGAACAAATCAAACCATTTTCCAACTATCGCCTTTCCCTCGGATCCAATTTTTATGTGTGTGAATTAATAACGAACCAGGATACTTTACTTTCAGCTAATGCAGGTGGACTATCTCTGCAACGATATTCTCTGTATAAGTTCGCAGTATTACGAATATTTTTTTATTCCCTTGAATTTACAACACTGTATATTGTACAAGAAAATGATTGACTGTCTCTCCTCCGATAATCAAATCTCATGAAAACCGAATATAAAACGGTTCGTTTGTCTCTGAAGAACATTAAACTAGCGAAACTATCCAATAAAATCGCTGAATAGCATTACAGGTGGACTTTCTCCGTAACGAAATTCAAAGGCCCAAAAATGAAAAAATAAACATGTTCGTAATGCATTTATACTGAGAAAATCGTTGTAGATAGCTTTATGTTTTTCAGAGACAAACGAACCATTTTATATTCGGTTTTCATGAGATTTGATCATGGGAGGAGAGACAGTCAATCATTTACTTGCACAATATAATGTGAATCATAGTTTTGTTTTTCTAATTGAAATTTCCGTGAAAGCCAATCCTTCGAAAAGGTTTTCAAATAAAACAGAATTCGCGTGTTTAAGGTGAATCTTTTTTTTTTTCGTCGATAAAAAGTAAAACCTTCGCATACTGCAGTATTTTAAATGGCTAAAAATACACGTAAATTGTTTTGTTTAGCCACTCTGATTTATTCTCAGTTGGTAAAATCTTCCTTGTAAAAAGAAAAGGCATCTAAGACTTATATGTCATGACCTATGACCCGTCCATAGTACTTCCTGGATCGTCGACGGGAATGAGATGGTTCATCCGTTTCTTCCTTCTCCTCTTGTTTGTGCGATCACTCTGCGTGCCAAGCTCATTCTTTGGATTTCTAGCTGTCTGTATTGTTGGATGAAACCTTTTGAACTGGAGAAGACCGGATAAACCCGTCGGTCATCGCTGCGTGCGTCACGATGAATTTATCCTCTCCCTCTTTTTCCCAAATTGTCAAGAATGTTGATCTTGGAATCTCCTCAGCGAAAAACATCGTAGGCTGTCCTCGCGGTGGCTTGAGTCACTCGCGTTTGCCAAATTTTTTTGGAGATTGGGACGTTTAAGAATGCGCTGTTCCCGAAAAACACTGAAATGAGGAAAGTCCTGTGGTGCTAGTGAGTGAGACACTAGCTTTTTTTTTAATGAGCCTCGATACTGTTTTTCTTTCTTTTTTTTTATTCACGAACGTGTTTAAAATGCCGTTGGTAGATGTCCAATGTCACCCAGACGAAATGGCATTTATTTATTTTTTACATGGGAGGGAGTACATTTCGGTGGGCAAGGTTGAGGTCGTCTTTTTTTGAGCATCGTGAGTCCCGTTAGATTTTGCTTTCTCGAAAAGCAGCTTGAGTAAGTTGTGACTGGAACTTCGGAAAAGTTCAGGCAGCTGATGTGAGTAGTTCCTCGCATTTAGTAAGCGGGTTCTTGACATGGTTGGATCAGGCTGTATTTTTATTTTAGATGGTCTATGATCGTCAGCAAAACGCTAGTTTTTGTCGAGCTCTTCGTGGTGTGCCTCTCGTGTTGCGATCCCCTGGCACATCATGGATGAGAAAATGTCAGCAGGGCAGGTGGCCAAGTTTTTGCGCGTCTCTTCCGGAACCTTTATGCGAAGGTTCCCTCTCGTTGTTTGCCATAGTGTTCCTCTTCCTCTTTTTTTTTTCACAGTCCCACCTGTGAAAGAGCAAAAATAATTTTTCCGTGCGAACAGAAATAAGACCGTTCAGTGCAAGCGTCGTCGCCACCGAACAACTAACCCGGTCCCCGGCCAGTTCCTCTCTGGCATTGAGAACGTGAGCCTGATGGATGGTTTGAAGGGAATTTATTTTTATAATTCATCTGTGTAATTTCGAGTTTTGTGGAAAAAAGAAGTCAGTGAAAATGCGTCGCCAGTCGGAATTGTCGATCCGAGCGCAAATCACGGTCGGTCGCAGTCCGGTTGCGTCTGGTCGTAGTTCAATTCTCGGCGCTTCAGATGTTTCTGCATCATCGTACTCATCTGGATACACAGCTCGCAAGAATCGACCATCAATGGGTCTTACAGTCTTTAATTACACTAGCCCGAGCTCGGTTCTGGATAGAAGCTATGGGCGATCAAGCTCTCGCGGCTCAACAAGTTCCGAATTTCTTCGTCCTGGATCGTATGTGCCGGCAGTCAATTACTCTCGCGTGACGGCTTCGAGAAGATTCGAGCCGATTCAGGCATCAACTAGATTGAGAGTACAACCTGTGGGATTGCCATCGACGACTTACACAACGACCTATCATACTCATGTTGGCGTGGATCGCAGTGCGCAACGGCTGGAAGATGCGCGGCAGAGGGTGGCTCGGGTTGCTGCTCGTCAATACGACAGTGAGTATACCTTCAACCTTGTGAAATTTGAGTCTGATCATATCAGCTATTTTCGTAGTTATTAACCTTCCTTAAACCAATTAACGGACGTGAGTCGATTGATTCAAACGAGTGTCCTAAGTGGAGGTTGCTTCCTAAGTTTTGTCTAGTTCGTTCGATGGATGTTGTCGAAGTATAGTACCGTTTCCGCTTTTACGGGACTTTCTTTGACAAAATTCAAGGAACCGAACGAATGTTATTAGAGAGAATTCCGTCAGAGAATAATGCCTATAACATCCTCTGGGACCGCGAAAAAAATCGTTGTGTAGAAAAATAAATCGTTATAGAGAGAGTCCTCCTGTATTTGATCATTTCATGATCATTCCCCCGAATTCGTGTCATTCAAAGTTTACTTCCGCGGAGAGTTGAAGGCATATCCTGTCACTGATTGAATGCGCAATAAATTTGCCGGTTGAAAAAGGTTGATAAGCGAAAATGCCAGGTATCGAACGTACTTCAAAGGGCTCCAATACAACAACATACAACAAAATTGTGATATTATCTCCCAAGTTTTCTTTCCAACTGGCTGGGAGGAATGCAAATATGGTGGATTATGAAATGGGGAAAGTGCAAGGGGTTTCTTTCCAAGGATTTCCAAGGTTTAGGAATCACCTTTGTCAATAGAGCCTCAAGTTCACTTCCTCGCCTTTCTCGAGAGGAAACCTGAGAAAAATGTAACTTTCATTTGGATCAAGACTTTGTCCCTGCATTTGTTTTGCATGTAAACTGTTCACTTTTCCAATTATTTTCAGTTCTACTTTGCCCTCAAAAAATGAATTTTTACATAAGAACACTCCTTGATATCTACATATATGGAAAACTCAAGAGATAATATCACAATTTTGTATTACTTTATACGGGATTTTCGTACCTACGGGATTTTCGGCCCCCGCGAGATTTTTTGGCCTACGGGATTATCGGCCTCACGGGATTTTCGGGCCGCGGGATTTTTTCTCCTACGGGATTTTCTCCTGCACCCTTTCAAAGTAACCATGTACTGATGAGAAAAATGAATATCGGATGTGGTCATTTTTTGTTAGCGTTGCAGATCGTGAAGGTTGCCCAAAAAAGTTAATCAACGTGGACGGAGTATTCCCAAGTCTCCATTTTTCGACGGCTGCAAAATATAAAAGATTCTTAGGAGATGAACATGAACTTATTCTATTGATGTATCTTCCATTGGGCGATTCTTTATCCCACGTTTGGGCGATTTTGCCCCAAAAACTCGGGTAATCCCAAAGAAGTTCCTGTCAAGGTGCAGTACTAATACAGGTGGACTCTACGACGAAATTTAAGAAACCAGAAAAAGATTAGTTGTGGCAAACCTCTATAACATGGGGAGAGAACCCGAAGACCAACCAATAATACATTAATTCGTTATGCGGAGAATGTCGTTGGAGAGAGTTCACCTGTAACACTTTTGAACATCCACTCGAAAGTCCTTCGACTGAGTTCGCATGTCAGGTTTTATTGTTTGCCAGGGATGTATAAATTAAAAAAAAAAAACGTTAGAAGTTCTCCGCGCCAAGTTTACCTGCGTTCACAGAAGCTGATACTGTACGATTAATTTCGCTTTCATAGTCGATTCCTGATCTCACAGTAATATTTCGTTCGTGACTTCATTTATGTCTATAAATTATTTCTGCAGATGCGAGCTTGAATCCCTCGCGTGATTCTGGATATCAAAGCCAAATCACACCCGAGGCACGTAATCGACAGCCATCTTGGGAACGGAAACCTCCGGAAATTTCCCAGCCTATTGCTTCAACCGCGCGGAGTGATTCACAGAACAGCGGACCTCATGACCCGACATGGAATTACTTTTCACCCTCAACGCCTAGACGGCGAATAGAAGAAATAGCTGACGAATCCTGCGATGATGTGGCTTCCGTGGCTTCCTCTTCGGTATCAGTTGCAACCTACGCATCTCATTCGAACCGGAAATATTCCCGTGCTACGACGGATCATGATTTTCGTCGAGGAAAATCCTATGGAACGCGTCAACATTACACTGCGCCAGAAATTGAGTTTGCCGATATGTCGTCCTGTTCTTCGAAGGTTGAGAATATGTCAGCCATTTTGATCTCCACTGAGAGTGATAATGTCGGAGTTGGGAGTGGAAGCGGTGATTTTGCGTCTGTCAAAGCTATTGCGTGTCCTGATGAGGCCGGTATTTTGCACATTCCGATTCACCTCCGTCTTCCGGTGAGTGAGCTGACGTTTTTACGCTATTATTGGTTACACTATAAAGCACTAATTTGAGAGGGAGGAACAATGCATATTTATTGAGGAAAAATTTGTAGAGGAAGACTATCCTAAAGCACCGGAAAGCTATTCATTTTGTTAAGAATTTATGTTATAATGTCGCTGAAATTCCTCGAATTTAAGAGCAAGATTAGGCCTACGGAAATTTCTCGCGGAACTTGCGCAAACGTGGGTCATGTCTGGCCCATACGTGATCCCTAGGTTAGGTCGCGTTAAAAAAAAATTTAAAATCTATGTACTGTATATATATTGATAATCTAAAAATCTTTGTGAAAGGAAAAAAAAACAACTCGCTACTGTAATATAATCGTTTCCTATTTTTGAAATGAAAAATGAACAATGTCGAACTGCAAGCATGCTGAATTTGAATGAGTTTTTCGTTTTATTTTCAGTCATCTGCGCTCGGCAAGGATGACGGACTTGGTCGGAGCCGCCCGAAGACAATCCACATTGACGTATTCTGTACCGATTCGGAATCCGAAGAATCGGTGGATAGCGATCAAAATGACGATGCCAATTCAGTTATTTCCAAGGATCCCGATCATTCCTCAATTGCTACTGTGTTTGAAACGGACGAGGTGAAAGTTCGTCACATCCGCAAGAAAACGGGGCTTCCAAGGCGCTATCAACTTCAGTCGTCTGTGGAACAGACTGATGTGGAATTTCCGAGAAAACGCAAGACAACAACAAAAAAGCAAAGGAGCACGACTGCGGTTTCCAGAAATCAAGACTATTCATCATTGGCGACATCAAGAGCCGTTTCCGACACTGATCTCTCTGGTTATTTATCTTCGTCGAATGTTTGGGAAGGATCTTGGCATTCCGATTCTGATATTTCTACCACACCGACTGGCGCATTGTCAGACTCAAGCGATACAACTAGCAAAGATACTGGGGATTCAGATAAATTATCTCGTCGTGCGACAAGTGTTGAGAGGGAATTTGAGTCCCTTTTTCAAGCAGAGGGTACGACCGATAATGAAGCTCAGCCGACTTCGTCTAACACCACATTGAGCACGATCAAGTCTCCACCCGCAGTTTTGATGATTTCTGATGAGGATCTTTGGCCTACTGAGCCGAATATCCGCAGGCATAAATCGATGTTGGAAAGAACGGAAACGGGGAAAGAATCGCGCGTTAATTTACTCCGTCGTTTGTCGATTCGAAAATCTGAATCCTTGAAATACAAAAATAGCCTCGAGGAGCTTCGTGAAGGAAGATTTCTTTCCAGAAATCTTGGAGCTTCAACAATTACGGCATTGGACCGTGCACATGAATCTGAAGAAAAAGTGTTCGATGCTTTCCCAAAGCAGGAGCAGTTGATGCACCTGCAGAAGTTTTCCGATGGAAATGCTGTACAATATCCCAAAGAAGCTTCGGGTGAATTGGTCGAAGAGAAGAAGGCGAAGAGCCCAAAAGCAGAGAGTTTTGATGGTTCTCGCGTCCGAAGTCATTTAAACTTTGAATTTGATAAGGAATTTCATCCTTCAGTCCTTTTGCTGGATTCTGAGGAAAGTCAGAGCGCTATTCCTTGTCAGATTGAAGCTGTTCAAATTTCTGTTTCTTCAGCGCAAAAGTCTGTGGAACAGTCTTCGAAGAAAACTGAAGCGTTTGCGTTATCACCTTCCGTTGATACTTCTGTGAAACCGGATGAAACATATCTTTCGGAAATATCTTCGATTTCGTTTGTTGAGAAGGATTCAGAGCATTCCGAAGAAAGAGAAGCATCAATAATGGGACCAAATGAGGCAAAATTAGCTGCTGGTCCTTCTACCGCTTCTGTTCAGCGAAATCAACAGAAATCCGTGTCACCAAGTTCGCCCATGCCGAAAGTGTCTGCTGCTGCATCGAAGATATCTCGTCATGTCGGGAAATTGAGCTCGAGTGTTTATAGTCAACAATTGCAGTCGCTGAAGCCTGCACCTATTCAGAAGAAATTTTCGGAGGTCGGCAAAATAGCGCCTGGTCCTGTCACAGGTCGTTTTCCGCATACGCTTGCTGTTGGTACTGCTGTCAAAATATTTGGCGGAGCGAAACAAGCGTTGAAATCGACGAAACCAGATGTAGACCCTGATAAATCGAACATAAACGAGCAGAGTTTAGAGGCCGAATCCGAAAAGCCGAAGAAAAAGAAAAAGCCGAAGAGAACGCTGAGTGGTAGTTTGCAAGAATCGATTTTGAAAATCGAAAAACAAATCCGCGATGTTGCTACGGAAGACAGCCAGAAGAAGGAAGCACTCGTTACTCAGCCCGAGGTTCCCTTCACGGAAAAGCCCGGTGAAATCAGCGATAAATTCAGCAAAGCCTCCAGATTTGGTCAAGTGATCGCGCACGTAAAAAAACCTGGTCATCACATCGGACCGGCGAAGAACCCCAATTGCTCTTGCGAATGTTGCGTGAGGTATGCGCAAGAAACTGCATTTCGTCGACGACCGATCTGGCGTTCGACGATGTCAACAAAGGAATCTGAGGGTGTGACGTCGGCTCAGATGTCTTTCGGACCTGTAAAAAGCGTAATAAGCGCGTTTGAAGGGATATCACGTTATGACAAGCCGAGAGAATTGGAGTCGGGGGATATTGGAATGCCTGTGGACGAACGCTTGCCAGGTTTTCTGTTATGCACGATGTGTCTATTTTTAATTTTAAAAATATTATTCTCCAAGAACGAAAATATCTGTCACTTTCCCCTTTTCGTTCTTCGCCGATTTCAGTTTTGTTGGGATTTTGTTCCGCTTGTGCAGGAAATCCGCCGGCTGTTACACCGTTGTTTCCTGTCCGCTTGAAATAGAGTGATTATTTCCTATTTACGATACGCTGACAAGATTGGGCTCATGAATTCCTTACTTGCTCGATTGAAAGCCGCCCCCTGACTTCAGAAGGAAATCATTTAGGTCAAAAAATGGAAATAGAGGATGGAAATTCCTCCTGCACACTTCCGAAGTCCCTTTTTTCTGACGTCGTCTGGGCACATTTTTTTTTAAAGGACCATAATTCCTGAAGCACTTGAAATGATACATTTGATTTTTCTGTTGTAATCATAGCAAACGGAGGTTCATATGCGGTATACCTTACATGTATGGAATCCAACAGTTCTCCAAATTTAAATGTAATCGCTGAAATACTTGGGCTCCAGACTTGATATAAAAGGCGAAGCTTCCTTTGTAATGTATACCTATCGACGTCATGGCAGCAATTGCTGCCTCTAGTATGCAGTTCGATGTATCTGCCCGTGATTTGTACAATGCTGTGCTGTACTTGACATGTCTTTATATCCCTATTGTGTGCAGGACTTGCGAATCCTGGTTTCAAGTTGTTCTAATGTCCTTAGGCTCAAACGAGGTTGAGTGAATCCAGTAAGCGTCTGGATTTGCTGCGGTTGTCCCTGGAAGCCAGGCGAAAAGAACTACCGCCAGACTCTAGAAAAACAGAAGAAATCCAGCTGGAATTGAGCAGCTTCTTGGGCACAATTTCCCCCGGGTCGTACTCCCCGTCACAAAGCGCGCAAGATAATTTACCGCTCGCTCGCAGGCAAAACTCCAGCTTTGGTGATGAATACTCAGGACTCTCGACCCCGGGAAGGGGTGTTGGCCGGTCTTTGGCTATCATGAAAACGGCGGCTGTTACTGGAAAACTCGAAGTTCGGTGAGTCGAATTGCGCGTGTGGATTTTTGTAGGTACCGTATATTACATTTCAATTTGGCGGTGAACCTCATTTTAACCTTTTGATCTGTATCCAGGTTAATGGGTTGCCAAGATTTACTCGAAGATGTGCCTGGTCGATCGAGGAAGGAGTCGGCGCATTCACCCACCGACATCAAGTCTATAATGCGTGGAGTCACTGGTTCAAGATCCGCCAAAACATATTCCGTGAAGGATGAAACGAGCAGTAAGGCGTCCAGCTTTGTGTATCCACTTTCCATTTTTTCCTGTTCACCCTACAGTATCACCCGAAAGTATTCGTTGCGTTTTTGTCACGAATCTTCAGTTTGTTCAGCACGTAGAATATTTATTAATAGCTTTTACTGATTCGCTTTGCGTGAAATTTAGATCTATGCACGAATAAGGCGAATTTTCATCATTCAGTTCAAATGACGCATTTTCCCCCTTCGAATATAAATATTATAATTTATTTGGGTTACTTCCCTTTTTTATTTCAACGTTTTCGCTTTTGTTTGGTCTGGTGGAAGTGGTTCAAGACTGAAGTATTGTGAATTCGCTTGCATGAAACATGTGTCTCTTGGGTATACTCTGTCGCTGCCTTTACCCTTTCCATTTCAAGTCATTTTCACCCACCTGTGATCTTCGACTGGCTCAGTGCCGAGGAAACAGGGAGAGTTCTTAGTTTTAGAGATTTTCGTTTTCGTGAAATCCGCATCTGCTTGGAAGCAATGTTCCATGGAACTCGATAAGCTTTTGCTGTTATTGCTGTGATGTGAGACTAACCTGCGTGAATTCCTTTCTCGTTTATCGCGGAACAGGTTACGCAGTCTTCCAGGGTTGCATGCCCGTGGAGAGAAGTTTGTCGAGTGAGTTCAGTATGCACTTGGCTTTCCAAGTTCTTTTTCATAACGTTGCACTCGAATGTCAAACCCTGTCTCCCGAGTTCCGCTGGGGCTTTGGGGGACGTAAATTAAGTTTGCGTAACTTGTAGGTGTTTAAATTCTCCTCCGCGGGTTCTCTTCGGAGTTTAAAAAAAAAAAAAACGATATTTCTAAACAAAGTCGCGTGCGTCGTACGTCTAAGCAGATATTGCCTTTAAAAACTCGGTCACTGCTTCGCTTTGCCTGTCTGAAACATTATTTTTGGTTGAACACCGAAGTTTACCCATGATTTCAGCCTCGAGGAAACGCTTGCCGTTTTGTGCTGTTTTGTTGGCGGAAGCAGTTCGTAGGAATCCCGGTGTGATTTCCGTATCTCGGCTGTTTTCGTTTACTCCGTGTGTTTTCTCCCTTTCCGCTTATACTTTTCTTCTTTCTTGGTGCGGGGGAAAGAATGCTGTTCGCGAAATCTTTTCTTTCAATACCGAAAGGACTTCGCATGATCGGCATGAAATAGGATATACAGTACTGTGCAGTATTTTGATTCGTTTATCTGCATCGTTAATTCTTTCCCTGTATCGTCATGAAATTTCAAGCATTTTTAAATATTATGGTTAATTATAGTGATGTGGATTAATATAATTGTTCTTCGAAGTGTAGAGTTCGAATCTTGACACGTGAAAGTCGTTGATGCTTTTTCAGAATGCACGAAGTCATCGCGCTTCGCTTCTTTTGCTTTGCAAGTTAATTTTTTCAAAATTTGTATTCATGAATTTTAGCTGTTGCTCTCGATTAAGCTGAATAAATTGCATCGTACAGTGCCGTGCGTCACTTCAAACTCATTATGCATGATCAGTTAGTTTTCTCATAAATTTTTCCACTGTTGCATTCATAATACCTTTTTTTGGATTATTTGGGATGGTCGTGTGGTCATCGGTTGTTTTCGAGTTATGGTTGACGAGTTGAGTAGCATGAAGTATTCTGCATGTGATACAGTCATTATTTTTCGATGGCCTGTTCTTACGGTGTAGGTCAATTTTAAGAGGTATTGTTTGTCTTGAAGTTCTTAATGATTCGAGCTGATACTGATGGTTGGTTCCTTCCGATTTTTCTCTGTGTTTGTTGTTCTCCGGAAGATGAAATTATGGCTGTACTGAAACTGGATAATCAGCAAGTAGCCCAAACGACCTGGAAACCATGTTCGCAGCAAGCTTGGGACCAAAGGTTTGTGAACCATACGAAAGCAATTTTTAGGAATATAACTGATGTTGATTCGGAAAAACCATCCGGTGCTTCTGCAGATTCAGCATCGACCTCGACAAAAGTCGGGAAGTGGAAATAGGTATCTATTGGCGTGACTGGCGATCACTTTGTGCGTTAAAGTTTCTGCGGTTGGAAGAGTTCATTGATGACGTTAGGCACGGCATGGCATTGCAGTTGGAGCCTCAAGGACTTCTTTTTGCCGAGGTTGGTCCTAAATTACGTACGCGATACAATAAATGTTCTAATGCTCCATCGCAAAATTACAGTATTTTATTTTGTTAACGTACTGAACAGATGAGCTACATTATCATCGAGATTCTCTCGGTAAACTCAACTCGAAACTTATAATAGAAGAACTGCATTTGAATTAACGCTTAAACTTCTTGCTTTTTCTTGTCTCGTGAATTGAAGGACTGTGTAAAAGTACTGTAAAGTGTTGAAATTTCCTCTAAGCTTGAATAAGACGAATTTTCTTGATGTTTGCATGGAAGTATAATTCTACAGTGCTCAAATCAAATTAAATCTATGTTACGGTACTCGGTACCAGCCTCAAGAATTGAAATGGTTCAACGTAATTTACTTGGAAAGAAACTGGAAACTGTGTTCCTCTTTCTGTCGACCCCTGATCCGTATTTCTTGATTTTGTCAAGGAAACGTACGGATTATGATATCCGTCCCAATTAATCGATGCATTGTTTCAATTTCCTTCCAGATCAAATTTCTGAATCCGATGATCAGTCGGAAGCCAAAGCTCCAGCGTCAGAAAAAGATCTTCATGCAGAAGCCGGGCAAAATGCTGCGACCTAACCAAATGAACATCAACGTGGCCACGTGGGGTCGTTTGATGACCCGTGGTGGTGGCCTGCGTCCTCCTGAATCAGGAGGTCCGTTAATCTCTTGTAACCCTCTTCGGAATCAAATTATTAAATCAGTATTATCTGAACGGAAGTTTTTAATGAAGCTAGCGTCTCTTTCGAAATTTTCCCGTAGTGTTATTTTTTTTCAACTTCGGCCTTTTGTTGCGTGGGAATTCGTCAATGTTGGTTTTTTTAAGTATCTTGAATTGTTTGTACGACTTTGGGTGAACTTCCCGTGATTTTTTTTTTTTTTTTTTTTGGATGAAGTGACCCCGCATTCATTGGTTAGATTTCTTATGGGAAGCGAGCTCGAAATTTTTATAGCGTTGAGTACGAATAAGTCGCTGAATCTCACGCACGTTTTCACACAGGCTCAACGCCCACACGGCCGCCTCGAGCAAGCCAGATGACGCCGGCCGACGCGGAAAGAGTTGTCTCGGAGGGCGGCATGGTTTCGGCTGTGTCATCCGGCGGGCTCGACATCGGCTCGTCGACCGAACGGCGTCCCATGAGCATTCCCATTGCTCCGCCTGTCGTCCCGCCGCATCACAAACGCCCGGCGCCTTCCCCGCCGTCGGTCTCTGGCATGGATCGTGTCTATGTCTCTCAGGCCTCGACGAAGGTGAGTCACGTTGTAGTACTTCGTCTGACCAAACGCATATTCGCGGTTCCGACTTCGATGAAGGCTTCCGTGGCAGCAAGGCAGTTCTTATTACTCAGAACTTCTTATTTCAAGAGAAAGCGTTACATGCCTGGGGTTCAGCGCGATGTTCGCATTTTCTGGAACGATTGTGGGTGGGGGAGGGCCTGATGTCGGAAATTAATTGGAGATCGTGTTTCCCTGGGAATAACTCCGACCATCATTTTAGGGCATCTTCGCGATTGTGAAAAAAGTAGTATTTAAGTCTCTTCAAACTATCTGCCATTTCTGACAAGAAAACATGTTTTATGTTCTATGAGTGATAGATGGCGGCAGTATCCAAATATATGTATAAGTTTAAATGTCGTGAAAGAAAGATTTGCAAATGTTGAAAACCATTTGAAATGCAAAATTTTGGGGCTAAAAAATTCATGTGTCTAGTTTTGGCTTGCCATTTTTCAAAAGCGTGAATACAAAATTTCTTAGTCTCTGGATACTCAAGAAAACACGCATTCGTGTATCTCAGTATAATTTATGCGCTTCAGAATATTTGGTAATTGCAAACATGTTCGTATTTTGGGGAGAATGGCTATTCGAAAAAAAAAGTCGTGTGCGTCGAAATAGATTCCTAAGTATAACCATGTTAAAATTTTACTGAGTTACAGGAAAGAATGTACTCCATCGTCTCTTCTTGTAAAAAAAAAAAATACAGTGATTTCAATGGTGAACATGGCGAACCAAAACGTAAGAACATTATTTGCCCTAGAAATAGTTTTGTAAATGTACTTCTCATCTAAAAATAACATGTACGATGACATTCAGAAAATGATCCCGTATGTCTTGCTTTAAAAAAGTAATACTCTTCCAAGCAAGGCAATAGACCCTCTAAACTTCTAAATTGTAATTTTACACAAGTATTAACTAAACAATGACGGATGTTAGCAACTCTCATTTCTCGAATCAAGTGGAATTGTGAGCCATTTTGTGATTGACAGAGGCAGACTGGGTCAGTAATTTTAAACAATCGATCACTAAGTACAATTTGAGGCAATCTTATCGAAGTGCGATTTCAGTTTTTCTTACCTGTTACAAAATGCATAATCTCGTGAACATTTCATGATCCAAGAACATCGTGTAGTACTACAATCTTGCTTGCTCTGTTTATTGAAGAACTTTGTTTTTAATCGCTCGTTATTTTTAATCATCCGTTCAGCCGATCATTAACCGTAAAATGTGGTTTCCATGATATAAATTCGAATTACAGAATTTTCTGTGCGCGCGGCAAACTTCTCCATTTTGAAATGTTCAAGCTATAGCAACGAGTTATAATTCGTGGGTAAATTCCGAACGTACCATTGAAGTATTGATTGGTGTACTGTACTTTTGAATCCTGAATTTAATATACAGTATAACCCGTAGGCTTTATCTGGGAAACACGGGATATGATGTCCCTAACGGTCATCGACTCATCATGTATTTCGTGTTCAAGCCTTTGAAAGGCTGTCCATGCTTTTCCGGGATGTAGAAAAATGTTACGGAACTCCCCAGAAATGACGTCACAATTTTATCGATTTAACTGCGTTCAGAGAGGGAATTTTCGTGGAACTGGTCAATTTCACCAGTCATTTACATCGCCCAAACCGTGATGGTTTTGCCATCGTCGCAATTCGATATCCTCGCCTCACGACGATATAATCTGTTAGATGAGAAGCATAATGTCTTTTCATACTTCATTGTGTTGTCGATGCACATCAGAATTTCCATGCACCCCGTTCATTCTGCTGCCTTAATTGTGAGGAAGCGACGAGGCGCGTGGTGATGGACACTGAGTCGGGATTGTGTCATCCATCACTTTTCGCAGGAAATTAAGTATACTTCTTCGCGTCTAGTGGGGAAATTGCAGTATTTTTTTTCAATATTGCCGAGGTTGACGGGTTTATCTTGAGCGGTGTAAATTGGTGGAATGTTTACGTTAACCCTAGAGTCTCTCGATGAAGGAGGGTGTCGGGAGATGCAGTCGTCTGACGGGACGACAGGATAAGTGTGACCTTTGCATCACGATCGAATCTCCTTCGATTGATCATTTTTTCGGGTGGCTTCTTGTCGAAGGTTGCGTAACTTCCTGGGTTTGAGATTCAAAACTTGAAGAGCAAGTCTCTATGTTGTGCCCTCGAAATTGCTAATTACTGTAATTGTTTTGGAATAGTTTTTGAGGATGATAAAGAACGACGAAACTGCTTTTCTGAACCCGAAGTTTGTTCCGACGAATTTATGCTCTTCTAGATCTTACTTTTTTGGAACCAACGTTGAATTTTAGTGATTCTTACTTCGGTGTAGTGAATTATTTTTGACTATTTCGGGAACGTTTCTCCCGATTCCTTCTACTCGGTTTGAATTTCGGCATGTCCAAGGTGAGCTGGTCAGCTGCTTTGAAGTTTTAACGATTATCTTCTTTTTTTTGCTTCGGAATTCAGTGTCTTTATTGATCAACTAAATTGGGTGGGTCTATAGCTTGGAGATGAAAATTCGTTCGATGTGTGGAGAAACCCTGACCAGCGCGATCGTGTTGTTACTGGCATCGTTCTCCATCGACGGATGAACACGCCGAGTTGGAATTTGAATAGATATTTGGAAGTGGCGCTTGGTTTCCTCGCCCTCGTTCTGATGACCTTTGCGGACAGCTCGAGTGCAACTGCCGGGGAAAAGACTCGATTTCTTTATTCATGATGCGCGATCGTGTGCCCGGGCTTGATTAAGGGTCTGTGAGGGGGAGTGAGTTGGTGAGGTCGGAGTGATGAAATCCTCTTGATTTATTCCCTCGTCATTGAAGGGGGCATTTGCTTGGTTCGACGTAAGCGTATTAAGTGACCAATAGAAACTGTGTTTTTTTTCACGCATAGCTGGAATAGATCGTTTGCTCAGATCTGGGACAGGTACATTTCAGTTCTGAGGCGAATACTGTACAGTTTTTGAAATGTAGCTCTTTCATTTTGTGGTGCCGCTTTTGTTTTTGGAAGTACTGTAATCTATGACCAGTCTGATGAATTTTTGTTGTCATGCGATGGCTTTTTGATATACTTTTGCGAGTCAGTTTGAAAAATTGTCGGACGCTGTCCGTCATCGGGGCCTCAGAGGGCTTCTTAAATTTGGTTAAATATCTTCGCCATTTTTGATTTATTCAATATTCTGCATTGTGTCCTTCAGGGCGCAACGATGTCGAGAAATGCGTTGATGGATAGAGTGGAATGCGTGTATGCGGTACGATATTTTTAGTTCGCTTTGAGTTGAGAACTTGTTGAGTGCGTTTATTCATTCCATTTATATGTAGTATGAGTTTCCTCCCAGTTTCAAGTCTGTTCAAGGTACAGTAGAACGAAAAAATGAAGTGATGGGCCCTCTCATTATTCAAACGTGAGAAATTGACATGTCCTGTAGTCTCGAAACTATAAATGTTTCGATTAGCAATAGACAGCTGTACGCAGTAATAGTGGCAGCAGTTGAATGTCTAGTCAAATAAATTCACTGAATATTGCTAAAAACGTGGGAGAACAGCTTCGGGGGACAGATTCCATGGCATTTTGCCACAATTTTGAATGAGAGTCTGGACTCCGGAGACAGACAAAGCTAACGTCTCAGATGTATGCCAATTCATTTAAATGACTAGCAGCACGTTTGTCCTCTTTGTTCAAGACACAGAGGTCAAAAGAATGACGAAGTAGGATATTTTGACGGACTTCAGTTTCCGTGTTACACGCAAATTTTTTAGAAGACTTCCGTATGGCAGCTGCTTCGTTAATACGGCTTTTTTCTCAACCGATGTTGATTTTGCCACGTCTTGAATTCAGCGACTTGACGTTACCTCTGGCCGTAAGCGGTTTTTTTTTTTTTGGTGTGTCTGAGTAGCTTGACAACAACCTGCGTCACTTCAGTAGGTCATTTGTATTTCAACAGTGGAGTTGTTTTTTCCTGAAGGTCAGTTAGTCCTTATCTAGGCTTAGCAGTCAATTTTTTTCTTCGTCGTGACGATGATGAATTAGTTGTACAGTACTATACTGTACAAGTGTACAGTACATCATACCTTGTACATGAATTTTTCTCGTTCGGCTGAAATGGGGCAATTTTTGATCCCCTTTTTCGTTTCTGACACAAACCGGTTTTTCTTCGAGAGCTCACTTTTGGACCCCAGTGCCTGTTCGCTTTTTTGTGATGTTATCTCTATAACTCTGAAGGTTATTTAATTCCATCTCGCTTTGCCTTAGATATTTTCGTGTCATCTTTTTAAAACTTGCGTCGCATCCGTCGTCATTGCCGTTGACGAATTGGTGCAAGAGGCGGAGGTTGTTTTCATGTTTTGTAGTTTGGAATAATTTTGAGCAGCATCAGAGTCCTATGTTCTCTTTGTTGAATTCAACTCCGGCCATGTCGCGCTTGTATACGAGTTAGTCGCATTTGCATGGAGCCATTTTTCAACCTTCGCACGGTTTTTAGTTGTTGAGGTTGGTACCTTCGCTTCCACAGTCTTGACAGCGGCGAGCGTATTTTTGTCTTCATCCAATTTTTCGTCCAAAATGGTCTTTGAATTACGTCATTGAGGATTTATATTTTTGCGTTCTCAGAGAACAGCTTCGAGTACTCATGAATTTTCTTCGTTTTTTTTTTCTTTCTGTCTGGGCATTTTAAAAATTACTTCGTATCTATTTTCCGGGTGTCAGAGGATGAAGAAGAGGTCGATTTCAGGGGAGGTAACATTTCGTAATGCGTGTTCATGTTCTCGGCGGGTCTGAGGCAAAAAACGATGATGAATGAGTTCATGACGTGCTCGGAAATTGAAACAATGCCCCAATTCACGCCTGAGATCATGTAGCAAATACTCGCCGCCTCACACGCGAGCCCATGAGAAGAGGGAGAAGGATATTTTCTTTGCGGAGGCGTCCTTTACTGCTCTAAACGAGCATCCCACACATAAATTTTCTATACTCTTCTGTCACTTTAGCCTTTTTGTATAAAAAAAAGAACTGAGCAGACTTCCCGCGAAGTTTCTCGAGAAATGGAGTTGCTGAATATCTTGCGAGAAGTTCATTCCGGACGTAAAGAAATTGTTTTTTTTACGATTTGGTTAATTTCTCTCGAAGGGCGGACAATTGCGATTTTTTAGAATTTCGGTGGGTTCTTGAGTATACAATTGCGTTGAACGACTCCGTTTAGGGTGAAATGAGTTACGCGAATCTTCTGTTATAAAAAGAAATTCCCGAAAACCATGTTTTTTATGCTTATACTGTAGTATTAGCCGGATTTCGCCGAGAAGGAAAAAAATATCTGACATTTCTCTCTTTTAAATGCGTTCGATTAGTTCAAATGGACATGCTGAAACCGTGAGGAAACCCAATAATGAAAATTTGTTTCTGTGTTTAATAAAGGTTCAAAACCTAGAAAAATATGGGTTGTGTCTCCTGTTCTCTTCTATCCAACAAATTGCCGTGGAACCAGACCAAAAGAGACATTTTCGGGGATTTTTTTAAAATTCAAAAATGCGTTGGGGGTTGTTTTTGTTTCTCATATAATCGGATCGATGATTTGTTTGGGACGATCATCCTGTCAATAGCATGCTGACTCGTGCAGTGATGCAACGAATTCGTGTCTTGTTTCGAAATTCGTTGAGATGTCGATGCGGTTGTCTTCACAGGTATGTTGTTGCGTGCAATTGTCAATATTTAGAGCCCGTGTCGACGTGCAGCAAATGACCTAGACTCTGAAGCCATATTGCTCAAATACTGTCCGTCTTCCTCTCTTGCGTAAGCACCAAAATTGTCGCGTGAATACATTTAGTGTCTTTTACGAGTTCATCTCATAAGAGTGGTTAGATTTCTGCATAGCTTTCTTGGCTTAATTTTCCGTCGTCATGCACTTTTTCTCTGCGAGTCGAATCCCTTCGCAATGGAAAGTTTGCGCAATCAACATGGAAGCTCTTGATGTCCGTGAACTCCTCGCAGTTCGGAATGCTGTCGAGTGTCGACACGGGTCGTGGGCGACGATTTCATTTATTTTTTGTGCGGAAGTACGTCACTTACTGTCATTTTGCCTTGAATTGTGCATTCTTTTTCCGGGCAGATTCATTGGCATCGTCCCGTAGTAGCGGTTTTCGAGAATTTCTCGGTACTTCGAGGTGCACCATCTGTTGAGCATATCCATAGTTCAAGTCGGGGCGTGGTCGTACCCGTGAAATATTTTTTAGCAGAATTTCCTCCTGAACTGCAAGCTGAAGGAGGATTTCAGTATCTTGACGGTCTTGAATGCAGGTCAAGTATTGCATTCGACGCACATATTTATGTGGCTGATCACTTCAGCTTTTATGACTCCCTCGTGCGTTTCTTTTTTCTTTTTCTTTTTGCTCACGTAAAAAAAAAGGACGAGCTATAGTG